TTGCTGCACTCTTTGTTCAGAGGCAGCCCGGCAGATTGTCCCTTCTCCTTAATAAAAGCTTGTTGTGGTACTGGTCGGGTCTTAGTTTTTGGCTCTTTTACCTGACACAATCTATATTCCTTTCCTTCTCAAATATCTATTTCCCACACTCACTTAAGTGCTGCAGGCTCCAGAGCTAAAGAGTCTTTCAAGCCTAGATGGACACCAAAGAAAAAGAGGGGAGTTTTTCAGATTTTAAAAGGAAAAGGAATGTCCCCTTGAAAGAGAAGGTGGCTTTCTGCTCTAATATGTAAACTTATCAACACAACCAATGATGTTGGATTTCTCCTAGACCCTGGACGAGTGGCCCAGAATGAATGTAACCTGGCAAGACTGAATCCAAGAGGATTCCCCTTGACCACATCTTCCCTGTCCACCCTTTCCACAGACACAGGAAGTCCCCACTGTGGTCTCTGGGTGGCAACAGCAGTGAGTGGTCTGAATTGGGGATCAAGGAACTTCACTTGCCTGTACTTGTGAGGCCTAAATGTGCTGGCTTTGGGTTATGGGATAATAATGCTATATGTTCTATTTATTTTTTTTAGTTCATTTATTTTTTTTTGAAAAGTAGAACTCCTAAGAGTTTGATTAACAGGTTGAAGAAGCGATTCCATTGAGACCCAGGTCAGGCATGAGCTGATAGCGGAACTCTAACTCTAGCCAGTCACCTGAATGAGCAACCCATTCCCACCATACCTCACCTCACCCTCCACCTCCACAGCGGAATGAAAAATAGCAGGGAAGGGGAAGGAGGACTTCCAACTTAGATTCCTTTAGACTTTAATGGAACATTATTCTGGACTTTAATTTCTCCTTAGGAATTCAACAACAGGAGTTCATATCTGGAACAATTTTATGTTGCTGACATGTTAGCTGGAGCATTTTTATGCTGTCATTTTTACTTATTTCACAATTTTTAACCTTTATTATACAACAATATAGTAAAACACAACTTGAAATAGGAAATATTATTAAGTAATTAATAAGCACTTGTCAGGCACCATTTCAAGTGCATTCCATGTATTAAAATACACATTTGAACAACACTATAAAGGATCAGTAGTGGTCTCATTTTACAGATGAGGATAGTAAGGCACAGAAAGGTTTGAGCAGGATGTGAGGGCGATCTGGCTGCAACATCTGTCACCCCACTGATCACCAGGGCTGATTTGGCTGACCTGGTTGGCCAGGCGGATGTCCCCTTCCTCCCTCACCACTCCACATGGGTCCTTCCTGAAGCTGTGCTCTTGGTCGAAGAGGACGACCACCCCGATAGAGGAGAACTGTTTCCTCAGTCAAGGGTATGTGGGTAGCTGCGCTCCTCTGCTAGAACCTCCAAATAAGCTTTCAAGAAAAGTTTGAGTAATTTTGCCTAATTACATAATTTTGTTAAAAAACTTTTTTTTAAAGAGACATGGTCTTGCTACGTTGCCCAGGCTTTCTTGAACACCTGGACTCAAGCCACCTTCCCACTCCAGCCTCGTGAGTCGCTGGGGTTGTAGGTGGGCACCACCATGCCCAACAACAAAACAATTATGAACTATGAATTGTTAGGCTTGAGTACACTGTAGCTGAGAAGTTGATTTAATTAGTGCTTTATATGACTCATTTCAGAGCCTTCTGTGGGCCAATAATAAACTGCCAACCAATGGCCCCAGGTGGAGCCACTAACGGGAGGGAAGTTCCCAATGAGCTGCTGGTGTCTTCTCCCAAAGAATGAATGCTCACTGAGTGACAGGGTGAGCTCAACAGGGTGAAAAACCAAAAGCCAGGAATTTAGGGAGAACTCTCTCTTCCTCTCTCCAAAATTTTTTTCTTGGCTCATGTTTGCAGTACATAATGATTGCATTCCTCAGGGGGTGGGTACATATATATAACACATCTCAATTCTTTTTCTCATCCCCCTTTCCCCCTCCCTTTCCACTCTCTCCATCTCTTGTTTCATTCCTTTTTGGCAAAAGATCTCCCTATTTCCTATTATGTATCATTTATTTTGCTCTTTAATTATTTATGCTTTGGGTTTCTCACATAGGAGAAACCACACAATATTCAAGCTTCTCTATCGGATTTATCTCACCAAACATTATGGTCTCAGGGTACATCCATTTTCCTACAAATGACTCAAGTTTATTCTTCTTTGTGGCAGAGTAGTACTCCATTGTGTATATATACCATATTTTCTTTATCCATTCATCTTTTGATGGGCATATAGGCTGCTTCTAAGATTTAGCTATTAAGAGCTGTGCTGCTATAAACATGGGTATGCATGTGTCACTGTAACAGGATGTCTTTAACTCTTTCAGGAAGATACTAAGAAGGGGAATAGCTGAGTTAAACGGAATTTCTAATTTTACTTATTTGAGAAATCTTCATACTGATTTCCATAGTGGTTGGAGTAGTTTACATTTCTACCAACAATGTAGAAAGGGTTCCTTTCTCCTTGCAGCCTTCCCAGCCTTTGTTATTATTTCATTTCTTAATGATAGCCATTCTTTCTGGAGTAAGATAGAATCTCAGTGTTTTAATTCGCATTTCTCTAATGGGCAGAGATGTTAAATATTTTTTTTATGTATTTATTGGCCATTTATGCTTCTTATGAGAAGTCTCTGTTCATTTCAGCTGCCAATTTTTCTTCTTATTCTTGAAGGGGTCTAATTTTTTTGAGTTATTTATATATTCTAGATATTAATCCTCTGTCCAAGGAATAGCTGGCAAAAATTTCTTCCCAGCTTGTAGGCTGTCTCTTCATTCTGTTGGTTATTTTTTATGCCACTGGGGTACTATTCAGAAAGTCCTTGCCTATGTCTATGTCTTCAAGAGTTTTACCTATTTTACCTTCCAACAGACTGTTTCTGCTTTAACATTTACATCTTTGATGCATTTTTTAGTTTACTACATGATGCAAGATATGGGTCTAGATTTAATCTTCTGCATGTGAATAGCCAGTTTTCCCAGAACCATTTGTTAAAGATGCTATCTTTCAGAGTACATTTTTGGCCCCTTTGTCAAAGATCAAATAGCTAAATGTGGCTGGTGTTATTTCTGCATCCTCTATTCTATTCCATTGATTCACATGTCTGTTTTTGTGCCAATACCATGCTGTTTTTTGGGTGTGCTTTTTTTTTTAACACTGCAGCTTTGTAATATAACTTGAAGTCTAGGATTGTGATGCTTTCTGCTTTGCTGTTGTTGCCCAGGATTGCTTTTGCTATTCTGTGTCTCTTCTGATTCCATATGAATTTTAGAACTGTCTTCTCTAGTTTTGTGTGGAATGCTATTGGTATTTTGATTGGACTGCATTAAATCTATGTATCAGTTTTGGAAGTATCTTAGTTACTTTTCTCATTGCTGACACAGAATATCCAACACCCAAAGTTTAGCAAGAAACGGTTTATTTCAGCTCACAGTTTGTAGAGGTTTCAGTCCACAGCCAGCTGTCTCCAAGGCAAGGTGGCATGGCAGAGGGGCTTCACAGAAGAGAAACAGTCCTTGGCAAAGCAGGCAAGAGGTAATAAAGTAAGAGTGCCTGCCTTTCCCTTGTATCCCATCTAGGCTACAAGCCTTTGGGTGGTGCCACCCACAGGGCGGGTGGGCCTTCTGTCTTTATTAAATCCATTCAGCCACACCCAGAATTATTCTAATTCCAATCAGTGGACTAATTAGTACCACACACCTTTAATCCCAGTATCACACACTGTAGATCTAGCCAGCTCTGAAAAGCCCCACCTATGAGCACATGAGGCTTTAGGGGGAAATCTAGATATAAGCCTTTAACAAAAGTGTAGACATTTTGACAATATTGGTTCTGTCTATCCAAGATCAGGGCACATCTTTCCATTTTCTGATGTCCTCTTTGATCACTTTTTTCAGAGTACTTAGTTTTCATTGTATAGGTCTTTCACTTCCTTGGTTAGGTTCCTAAGTATTTCATTTTTCTAGATACTACTATGAGTGGTATTGTTTTCCTAATTTCTTTCTCAATGAGCTTGTTATTGGTGTACAGGAACGCTACTGATTTTTGTATGTTTATTTTTATCCTGCTATGCTACTGAATTTGGTTATTCTAGGAGTCTTTTGAGTGGAATGTTTTGGGCCTTCTATGTAGACGATCATCATCTACAAATAAGGATAACTGACTTCTTCCTTTCCTATACATATCCCTTTTCTTTCCTTCTCTTGCCTGATTGCTCTGGCTAATGTTCTGAGTATGTGTACCCTCTCTGTACTTGGGCCTCTCTGTCCACCAAGCTTAGAATCAGCTGTGGCACCAAGGAGGAGAGTCTGAAATAGCTTGGCTCCTCAGCAAGAGCCTGGGCAGGTGAGTTTATGACGAGGCAAAAGAAATAAAAAGCTCATTTTAGATCTAAATTCAGGCCACACTTTCCTACGTCACTTTACCAGCAATACAGCTGACATTTAGGTCCCTCTTTGACTCCCATGTATATTTTTTATTGGTCTGAATTCAAAGGAGAGAGATTGTCCCTAGCTGGTACCTCCAAACCCTAATGTCAAAAAGATTTAAAGAAATATGATACTTCTACCTCAAAGAACATAAACCATGCCAAGTCCAGAAATCAAGATGGCAAGAATGTTTCTTAAATGACAAAGGGAAAAGGAATGCTGAAAAGGAAGCATATGTAGCTCACATGCAGAAGTGTGAAGTGTCCTTATGTAGGCATTAACTCTTATGGAAGAAGAGCCAATTGGAGAAGCCTCACCTGTATGACACTGATGTGTCCTTAAATAAATGATACTGCCATCTTACCAAGAATGAATTATACAGGTGCCCAATCAGAGTTTGAAAGCTAGCTCTGCAACTGTTTTACTCCTGAACCACAAGTTCTCGAGGATTTGAAAAGCCTGAATTGGTTGACAGTGTTCAGCAGCCTCTGCAGCGACTCTGCCCAGGAAATGTGGCTGAGCTCGGGTGCTGGGGTGGGCACTCTGCATCGAGCACTTACTACAGAATTCCGCGTACTCAGCTGGCAGGAGGAAGGTCTGAGGGAGGATGTGAAAAGCCTTGAATCCATGTGTATGTTGCATTCGAACGATATTTTTGTACAGCCGGTCCTTTCGTGTTAGTTCATAAGACCTAAAAACCGAAAAAGAATTTCCAATTCAGTAATCTGACTCTGAGGTTTTCCTGTGCTATCACACTGAAGAGTTCATAGTTCACCATTCTGGAGCACCTGCTGAAGTACTGTGCATTCAAACCTGTCACCTTGTTAACACAAAAGGTACGAATCATTTTCTCAAATGAAAGTTTTTGGCCAGATTTACTCATTAAGATATAATATAGGCCAGACCTGGTGGTACACACCTGTCATCCCAGGACTAGGGAAGCTGAGGCAAGGCGATCAGTGAGTTCAAGGCCAGCCTGAACTGCACAGTGAGTTTAAGGCCAGCCAGAACTAGATAGTGAGACGGTGTCTCAAAAAAACAAAACAAAAAAGAACAAGATACAAGTACAATGAAATTTCCCCTTTTTGGTGTACAATTCTGAGTTTGGAAAAACATGGACAATTAGGTACTGACCACTACAATCGACATGTGCACCCCAATGTGTTCTGACATCCTAAATCTGCCTCAAGTCCCTTTGTACTTAACCCCTACAATCACTGCTAGGCCCCAGGAAAACATTCATCTCTTTTCCTTATTTTTTTGCCCTTTTCCAGAAAGTAAAAAAAAAAAAAGAATCATACAGCATATATCTTTTCTTTTTCTTCTTTGTTTCTTTCCTTTTCTTTTCTTAGTACTGAAGATTGAACCCAAGGCCTTCACACTAAGCTACATCTTCACCACCCCCTTTTTATTTTGAGATAGGGTCTTCTGTCTTTTTAAGACTGGCTTATGGGCTGGGGATTTAGCTCACTGGTTCTGCCGCCTACCTCGCAAGCACAAGGACCTGAGTTCAATCCCTGGTACCAAAAACAAAACAAAACAAAACAAAACAAAACAAAACAAAACAAAAAGACCGGCTTATTTCACTGACCACAATGCACTTGAGATTTATTCTTGTTGTTGCATGTATCAGTATTTTGTCCTTTTTTTGGTCAGTAAGAACTCATGGTATGGATGTGCCACAATATATCTGTTCACCAGCTGAAGGACATTTGCATCATTTCCAGGTTGGAGAGATTACGAAAAAGTTGCTATAAACCTTCACACACAGGTTTTTGTATTAACACAAATTTTTTTTTTTGCAGGCTCGCATTAATTTTTTTTGCATCCCTGCATTCTCTTCTGTTATAACTCTACTAGAATACTGAGAACATAAATTCTTTTTTTTGCACTATCAAGGATCAAACTCAGGACCTTGCACTTTCAAGGCAGGTGCAGTACCACTGAGATAAATCCTGGGCCAAAGAACGTGAATTCTTACAAGGTTTTATGTGAACATTTTAATTTTTCTAAGAAGGGGCTACTAGGTTGTTTAGCAAGTTATGTTATTTGTCTACTGCTGCACACTAAATAGCCCCCAAACCTAGAAGCTTGAAATAACAAAACACATTTGTAATCCCACACAGCTTCTGTGGGCCAGAAACGTGGGATGACAGAGCCTGGTAGTTCTGTCTCAGGGTCTGTGCTGAGATTCCAGTTGAGAAGGTGGACAGCACTAGCTGGGGACAGAGGACCCACTTCCCAGATGGCTCCCTGAGAGGGGCTGGCTGCTGATAGGAGGCCTTGTTCCTCCCCATGTGAGCCATTCCACAGGACAGAGTGCCTTCCTGACATAACAACTACTCCTCCCAGACCCAGAGATCCAAGAAAGACAGCGAGAAGAAGCTGTACCCTGCTGTGACCTAGTCTGAGTGATATACCACTACTTCTGCCACATTCCATTTGTTGGAGGCAAGTTACTAAGTCCAGCTGACACTCAAGAACAGAAAAATTTAGCTTGGACTTTTGAAGGTAGTGTCAAAGAATTTATAGACACATTTTATAATCACCACATAACTACATGTTTAACTTTGTAAGAAACTGCCAAATGGTTATTCTGAGAATATTGGAAAAACAAGCGCAGTTCCTCTTACCATTCTCAGGGACACAGAGGAAATACCAGTGTTTTTCCCAGGCTCCACTCTAACTTCAACACAGTCACTCACACTTTTGACACCAGATGTGTAGGAGCCTTTTGCCACATACCAGCAAAGGATCCTACAGCACACGCCAGTTGACTGTTCTCTGATTCAACTCAATTCCAACACTGCCTACCTGGAGATACCTGAGGTCTCTGTTCCCAAGACTGCCACTCACTTCAGGTGCCACTTACAAGCCCCCGGTTGTTTTATCTGTGCGGCTGATTGACCAGCCACTAGTCACAGTACCCAAGACTGTCTCCTTGGGTTCAACTGATCTGCTACAGTGGATCACAGACCTCGTTGCATCTACGGGTTTATTACCAAGGATATAAACAGAAGATGCATAAGGCAAGGCATGAAAGAAGGGGTGCAGAGCTTCCATGCCCCTTCCCAGCATGCCACCCTCTAGGAAACTCCACATGCTCAGCTTCCTGGAAGCTCTCCAAACCCAGTCCTTTAGGGCCAGAATGGAAGCCCCCTTAGGTAGGCGTGGTGGATTAAATCACTGGTCACTAGTGACCAACATAACCTCCAGCCCTGTTCTCCCCTCTGGAGGCTGAGGGTCAGGCTAAAAGTCCAACCCCTCTAATCATGGGGGTCTTTTCCTTAGACCAGCCCTCATCCTCAAGTTACCTAGGGGCTACAGTCACAGTTTGACTCATTAGCATATAAAAGGACACTTACTACTTTAAAGATTCCAAAGACTTTAGGAATTGTACAGCAAGAACCAGAGACTTAAGGCTAAATACAGATTTTACAATATCACAGTTACCATTTTGTATTACCACCAGTCACATTTACTATTCTACTTGCAACGCATCCTATCCATCAGTTGGTTTTGGTTTTTTTGTTTGTTTGTTTTGGCCATTCCAATAGCTATATGCTAGTACCTCACATGGTTTTAATGTGTATCCCACCAATGACTAATGATGTTGGGCATCTTTTCACGTCTTTATTTGCCATATATACATCTTATACTAAGTACCTAAATCTTTTGCCCACTTTGAAAAGTAGGGTTGTTTGCTTGTTTTCTTATTACTAAGTTTTGTGAGCTCATTATATGCTCTGGATACAAATTCCTTATTGGATATGTGTTTTGTAAATATTTTCTCTATTCCACAATTTTTTTTGGTATTGGGATTTGAACCCAAGTCCTTCATGCTGAGGTATACCCTCAACCCTCTACTTAATTTGTTATTTTCAGACAAGAGTTTCCCTGAGTTGCTAAATTGCCCAGGCTGGGCTCCAACTTGTGATCCTCCTGCCCCAGACACCCAGAGGGCTGGGATTACAGGTGCACACCACCACATCCACTTGATTTTCTTCAAGTGTCATTCAGACAATAGATGGTCCTAATTTTGATGAAGCCCCATTTATCATTTTTTTCTTTTATGCATTATGTTTTATTGTTATATGAAAGAAATTTCTATCTAACCCAGGATCATAATAAAGATTTTTCTCTCTACAAATTTTAGTTTCTTTCACGTTTAGGTCTATGATCTTTTTTCCAAATGGCCTTTTAAAAATTAAGTTATTAAAAAAACTGAGTTATAAGTATAAAATTCTAATCTAAAACAAATATTGAATATAAATTTAAAAGATTGCATTTTGATTTTGACTTTTGATAAATATACTCAAAATTTCAGGTTATAAAAATGAAATAAGCTGGGCAAGGTGACATACACCTGAAATCTCAGCACTTGGGAGGCCGAGGCAGGAGGATCACTGCGAGTTCGAGGCCAGCCTAGGCTACACAGTGAGTTCAAGGCGAGCCTGAACTATACATGGTGAGACCTGTCTAAAAAAAAAAAAAACTAAATACAGTATAACCAGGTGTGGTGGTGTACACGTATGTATAATCCCAGCACTAGAGAAGCTGAGGCAGGAGCAGCTCTGCAAATTGGAGGCCAGCCTGGGGCTGTAGAATGAGTTCACGGCCAGCTTGAACTACACAGCAAGACCTTTTCTCAAAAAACTAAATGTATGAAAGAAATTCTAGCTTTATAAAGCTTCATCAACCAAGTCTGTGCCTATTCACCAGTGATTATGAAATATTTTAGGAATGCTATATCTTTTGTTTTAATTGAATCATAATTCTCTAATAGCATAAAAATATGGATTATTCATGTAATAAGAAACATCAATATACCAATTAACAAGTTCCAAAACCAAAGTATTCTGAACAGAAGGAAAACCAGACACCTGGAAAATAACAATTTGGCAAGGAGAAAAAAGTCAATCTCCAGGAATCAGGAAGGAACTGGCAGGAAAATTAGAAGCTCAACGAAGGTGCCGAAATGGATCACAATGCAAAGACAAGAACAAAGCAATTTGGAATCTCAAGCCAGCTCCTGGGGAGGGGAACCTGTTTCTGCAGATATAAGGTAAGTCCCCAAGGTGAGAAGTCAGGCCTGGCTTGCTTAGCTATCAGAGTGGCTGGGTCCAAAGTGTTGGCATTAAGTAAAGCAGGCTGCCTAAAAACCCCTGCCCTGCTACTTTTCTCCAGCACAGACCAGAGGTTGGACTGCTTTCCCCATTTATCAGCGTGAGCAAGGGGACACGCCCTGGCTTGGACAGGACATAGCCTGAGGTAAAGGGACAGGGGTCTCCGGAACAGGGGCCACCTCACAAACCCACAGGCTATAAAACCAGGCAGAGGAAGCCGTAAACTTGATGAATCCCAAAACTGCAGATCCTAGAAAGAACCTATCTTTCAAATTACAGAGAAAAATATTTTTCCCCTTTGGATTCATCTCTCTCTCCTCTCTCACTGTTTTCACTGATGGGGGGGGGGGGGTTGAAGGAA